ATGGACGAGGAAGAAAGGAAGAAAAAGGAGTAACCCCAAGCAAAATCAAGACTAAACATGTTTATGATTGCATAGTTAGAAGCTATATTTTCCTTCAAGAGTGCATTTTATGATTACACCAAAGATCAACTCGTCGAAATTAAAAACAACTTCACAACATAACAGAACAGAAGAATTTTCGGCATAAAAACATACTCGGATGAAAGGAGAGAGGAGGAATGGAAGTATCTGCATTTTTACTCCCATGTTTACAAAACAGAACATTTTTTTTTGTTTATGCATACAACAATATACAATGAGCACAATATAGAAAACGCTACCACAGGGAACATGGAAGTGCATCACAACCCGGTGGCCTTTAAATAGGTAACTACAATCCTCTTGAAGTCTGTCCCAAAATACATGCAGAATGATGCAGGTTGAAGATTAAGATGTTGGAAAATAGAAAAAAACACAGTCAATTGAATACAGTTGTTGGAAAATCTATATCTAAACTATACCCAAAATACTATAAGGAGTATGAGAAAGTAACTAGGGAGGACAATTTCCTAGAGGTATGTGGGTGACGCGTCGTGTATAAAACCAAGGGGCCTCGCAAGCTTTTCTCAGGGCTTTAAGCAGTGAAATTTGGGCATTTGCGAGAAAATAATTTGGACATTTGCGAGAAAATAATTTGGGATAAAGAGCTCCTTCGTAACTTAGATGCAGTTACGGAGTTTACGTTGCTACGTCAAGTAATCTTAACCTAGTAAAGACATGGACAGGCAAAATTTATTTTTCATCGTTATCCTGTCGCTTTATGTTTGAGAAGAATACAATTTTTTCACAATAGGCATGTTGCCGTTTGTTATACGACGCAATTGCAATTGATAATGACAGAAATGTAAGTCCCACGCTTTTGGCGTCTAGCCACATGTTTCCACCGCTACAGCGACACCTCTAATATCACTTCTTGTGTAAGCGTTCATGTACATATATTTTACAGCTCTATAAGTAACAGTTTACCTTCCATGCTTGACTTTTCAATAGGCGAGGATTCAATAATGCCACAGTTCTCACCTCAGATTTTACACGCGCCCTGTACAATGGCTCATTTGTTGTTTTCCTTTAGGCTGAAATGTTTTTGTTTTATAACTGTTTGTTGCTGTTATGACAATGTCCGATTGTTCTTTGCATTGCAGACTAAAGACGCGTGCTCTCATAATCTTAAAGTAATTCATTAACACCTCTGTAACAATGACAAAATGATAAATTCTAACGATCGATACATTAGTACGAATAATGGAATTAATAGTTGGTGCTTATTCGTAGCAAGGTACTGCAATGTAGTAAAGGATTCTAACTTTCTTGTACGCGCGAAAGCCGGTGTTTTCAAAGTAGCTTATGTAAATGCTTTAGAATTTGAAGACACAATTTGTTTGCAGACACATTCGTTACATGTGTCCACTTTCAAGCAAAACTTTGCACCAATTGCACCGTTGACTATTTGGAACCAACGTCTATCATACCTTTATTCATCTACGCATCCAGTTCTACTTTCTTGGATATCACTATCTAGGAACAAAGAGACGTATCCCTGTTTTTGGACGAATACCGGCAAAACTTAAGACTGGCCGTCTACCAAGAGCTATTCCCACCTCTAATTATGTCTACAGCTGATTCTATCTTGGATCTGTCTTTTTAAAACTCAAAGGAGGGCATTCGCAAAATATTTATCTCTTCCTTGAAAAACCTCCCAATAATATTCCAAGCAGGTTAAATAATCTAAACCTAGGCCATTTTGTCATTAACAGCCAATGCCTTCGTCAATTAATTGCCTTCATCAACCTAATTTAACCTATCAGAAAGCTTACCGTAAACCTTCAAAATATCAACGAAGCCATTAAACAAATATTTCCTAACGTCCTTTAACTGTAACCTTTCGGAAGCAAAAATCTTCATTTCCTAAAAATCTTTAGTATATCAAAAATCATAAATTGAGTATTTTAAAACTAGCACGAAATGTTGTGTGTTGTGTGTCAAAAAATATCCTGGATTGTCAGTTTCATACGTAAAATGTGCTATACTCTTCAAGTGTCCAAAGTACATTTAGCCTGTGCTCTTAAACAGTTTCTTATCGTTATATACAATAAAGATTTATGCCTATATTGGTCTCTAATCTAGCTAGAATTGTGCATCAAAACACAATATCAAATAAGCCTTTTTTCGCATGAGGAAGATAATTTCATGCCTAGAGGCGTCTTCATAAGATATCTCAAATGGGATGCTTCTTGCCACGATAGTTGAAACTGTAAAAAGGAAATGATTTACTGTTTGTCAAAGGACTTTGCAAAGACTTTGCACTTCACAGGGCCTATTTGACTCTCAATATTCCTTCAAAAGCCAAAGTAAACAGACTGTGCGATCGATTATATGCAATGTCAATTTTCAAAGTCCGCATCTGTATTTTCACAGAAAAAGAACCTCTTTCATGAATCGGTATAGACTATCAAAGAGAACATTCGTAAACATGCTTGTAATCGCCAGCCTGGCGAAAACGAACACCTCAAATGTTGTTTACCTTCATGTGATAAATTCTTTGATATTCTAGAAAAAAGTTATCATGGGTTGGCCGGTTCAAAGTTATGATTACTGTCTAGGCGCCGAATAAAAACAAGGATGTGCGTTTGAAGCTTCTGTTTCATTAAGGAAACCTTTCTGCAGATATCATCCAGACTTTACTCATTCAGGAAATATAGCTGTTTAGCATTTAGCAAGCAAGATGACTTTATATAGGCAAGGTTGATTTATCATACAAAATCTTTGAAAATGCATGAAGCTTTTACAAAAGTTTTTTTCGGATTTTAACTATGTTTGCAAATCTTCCAACCACTTATAGACGACCCTGACTGCAATCGTCGTGCATGTTGCCACACTACATATTACAGTGTTGACTCATATATGCAAGATATTTTTAAAAGTTCCTTTTAAAGCTAGCATCACCAGAACGATTAGATTCCTTCAAGCATTAACCAACATAGCTGTTACTGAGACTATATACAAAGTGAGGTCTGTTTTCCTTTCCACTTTTACCTTGTATACATTAGAATTCTTTACAAAACATCAATTTGTGAAATAGAACGATTCTATGGGACATAGAAGAAGTTCCAATTTGCTGAACAGTAACAAAGGAGATGCAAGTGTAGCTATAAGAAGCCTTATAGAAAATGAAAAGCTTCACATTTCATAATGATGGACATGGATGGCAAATTCCAATTTTTTCCCAACAACATGAATGCTCACGATTAGCAATCCCTGTGTCACCTATATCGACTTCAATTTCCAATGAGGTTTAATAGCTCTACTTATTGCTTCCATGGTAAGCAATACAGTAGATTCAGCTATTTACCTTTTTTGTAATTGTTTCTTTATTTATAAAGTATTTCCATAATGATGTGAAAATGGTAAGCTGTTCTCACGTCAAATGAGCCGAAGAAAAACAGAGGAGGCAAAATTTCTTTTCGACAAAGGAACGACGTTTCAAAGAATCTGAGTATAAGTATGTATTCTAAGGCTTTCATTTTGTGCTCCTTTTAGCCACAAAGGAAGATAAAAGAAACCTATAGCCAAAGAGGTATTCCAAACAAATTTCTATGTTTAATTATTTGTCCCTAATAGCTCCATAACATCTGTGCTCTTTCTACCAGAAAGCACTGTCTTTATTGAGAATTCTTTTTCTTACTAAAACGCAGAGAAAATGAGGAATCATTTTGTTGATAAAGATTTTCTACTCCAAGAAGAAAAGAAGTGTGAAATGAAGGTAGAAATAGTTTATGGTAAAATAAATTGCAGCAGTGACCTTCTGACGATTTTTTCACAGTAAACGGTAAAGTATTATGAGAAAATACAACAAAAATCCGTATGGTTGTTTTCTTTCATTGGAAATATGCAATTGTACACATAGAAATCCTTCTCTAGCAAAATCGGCTTTTCATTTAAATAGTACTCGAACTATGCATTTCGTTTCGTACTTCGCTTTGTTTTATTTCTTTTCGGCTCATTTTTTTTGTTTCCTTTCTCTTCAAATTTACTGTATTTTGACGCCTTCAACGTTCTCTAATATATTTGCCGCGTCAATTAACACAGTATAATTTAGAAAATGTGTTTCTTTGCTGTTAATGCAAAGCAGAATTAAGCAAAGAAAGACTTTCGTGTTCAAAGACATCGTTATTTAAACCTGTCGAGTTTCTTTTGTTATTGGTCGGGTTTTTTATTGAAGCCTTGTACTTAAAGCTGTGTTGTGTAATTCATGGACTGAGCAATAATACTGACACAATCTAGATTTCTGGCGTTACATGCCTTAGTTGCATGACTAATTACATTAAAACTTGTTCATACCTAGAAAACAAGCAATCAATGTTGTTGAAAGATCACACAATTTGTTACACTTCAGCCATGATAGTGAAAGTGGTATTTCTTGTCAAATGCAAATGGTCCGTGTTTTAGAGCAATTCAACTTAATCGTATATAATCAACACCTAGGTGAACACCGCAACGTGATTGGTCGAAAGGAGAGCACATGCTTAATTTATTAATGAGACTGGGCTATTTAGCGAGCATAACCTTGCGCATTGTGAGCGCAAGCATGTTCATAGCAAGAATCGCCTAGCTCTTCTTATAAATTTACAGGCAGAGCTCTCAGCTAAAACAGTACGATCTTAGGCTGCTAGTAGAGCACACGAACGCACAGAGAACTAAATCATTTAAGAGGTAACACAATTCTCAAGCAACTAGAGCTGCTGAAAATTTGAACACAAATCTTTGATCTTTGATTTGCATGATTTTGGTGTTGTGTTCTCGCTTTTGATTCTGAAGAGAGGACGTAGGAAGATTTGATTCTTCGACTCAAGCAGTGGATAGTCAATTTGCCAAAGAAGAGGTAAACAAACGGAAGTTATCCTTAGTAGCATTTAGAATATAATAAAAGTTGCTTAAGTTGAAGTATTATAATTTTGAAAAACATGCCCGAAGTGAAGGATAGTCAAGATTTGTCTCAGAAGACGACTAGCGAAGCTTCGCAAACGCAGCATCCTTCGGACTCGGTAACAACATTGGAAATAACCAGTCCGAAGAACGGTGTAATTGTGACAACAAGCCAGTTGCCATTGTTAGAGTCAGCTATACAAGTGCAGTTTCAACCTGTCCTGAATACATCAGTGAGCGGAGGAATTCCGGGTGCGGCTCTTTATCATAACCCAATCACTCTTACGCCTGTGACGGCGACGCGAACAATTGAAATACCCACTGGAAATTTAACAAGCAACTCAAGAGGTAGAAAACGCACAGCAACATCGCGCTTGCCAGCGAAACTTAAAGAGCCAGCGGCGGTGGCAAGAAGAAACGCCCGTGAACGGCGACGCGTCAAAATGGTTAATGATGGATTCTTACGATTAAGAAAACATGTCCCAACTGACCCGAAAAACAAGAAATTGTCAAAGGTAAAGACATTAAGACTAGCAATCGATTACATAAAGCATCTCCAACAGTTGTTAGTGGAGTCTTCCGTGAAGCAGAGCCATTCCACTCCCACATACAGTCTATCTGGGTCATCTGATGAAATGGACGGCGGCACACCTTCTTGGCTTCATCCTGAACATCTTGTCAGCAACTTCTCGGAATTCTCTTCAAATCTATCACTAATGTAACGCCAGATGCTGAAGCCTGCTCCGTTCAAAATTAATGCTTCATGAAGGGATTAATCGCATTCAGTTGGAACTTACCACAATGAACTTTTTGCTAAAGGTGAGCTTCATTTCGTAATGATGCATGCAACTACTTCATTTGCAACTAGCTCATTTGCAACTACCTCATAACCTCAAAAAACTAGAGATGGAGGTTAGCGTTAGAAGCACATCTCATTATAAAGGTAACACACAGTCATCGATCTGTAAACATAAACATTGAAACTACCATCACCAAAGAATAACTGCTTTAAGACTATTTCATGACAGCAATAAATGAAATGAACTATACATATAACATAAATAAATATTTGAATATATATGTATGTAGTTATAAACTAATGTTTAGAGAATTGTAAGAACTTTTCTGTGATGCGTTTTGCAGGTTGAAATTGAACAGATATAATTGCAAGTTTGTATAGCTAGAATTGAATTATTGAATCATGGTAAATCGCGTGTAATTTAAACAAATATTTCATAATTCGGAAATAGAGGCGCAACAAACTTCTTTGAATGATGTAGAAATAAATGAATTTATAATTTTACGGTATGAAGTAACTGGTGAATTGTCGTTGCTATTCTGAGAACTTTTATCAAATAAACAATACATCAGAGTAGCCTTGTCAGAACCGAAGTGAAATGCAATGAAAATATGTTTAATCTGCAATCCGTACTGTACTTGGCTTGTTGATTCTTCAAAGCACGCCATTGCAACTTAAAAGAACTTTTTCACACTAAAGAATTTTCACACTTTTTGCTTCAAGCAGTATAAACTTTATAATAAAGGGTAGCAGAACTACATCATGTTGCCCCAATTGCGAGGCTGTTTTCTGTTAATCCTATGTAATCATTCTTTTATTATCATCAATATACCTATTTTGGCATCAAACTTCAAATTAAGTTGCTAGCAAGGATACTTTAATCAATTTCTGTGCAAAATTTGGAAAACTTTGCTTGATTTTAACATTGAAATTGATTTTAGGTGTTAGGCCTTAAGTGGTTATAATCTTATAAAAATGCAACTGTAAATGTTGAAAAGACCTGGAATTCTTTTTCGTGGTTGAGTTTTATTGCTCGTAACAATAATTTCGATCGAAGAAAGTATTCAATAAGATTGAACATAAACAAGCTATTAAATATAATGTCTTGCCATAGACTGTATAAGAAACTTGTGGGTAAGTAGCTGCTTGAAAAAGAAACAAATTCTTGGACTGAAATTCTGTTCATTTTACTCTTCAAAAGTCTTTTATTTGTAGAAATTACTCGATGAACAATCTAGTTCTGTTTTCTTTAGTATCAGCTTTATATTTTAAACAGTTTGGAGAGTCTTTATCTCAAATATAATCTTTATCGGTATTTCTTGATAAACTTTAAAATAATGATGTCGGCGTTGGTTTTAAAATTGGCGATGTATTTACCAAACTTGATAACCTTATGCTACGAGAAGATGTTTCTTCTGTATTGAAGCTGATGGGACGTGATGCTGTTTATTTTAATTCATCCTTCAGTTGGTTTGTTATCCTTTTGGAGTGAGCATGACGCATCGTAAAACTCAGGCCCGCAGAAGTACCTGCTTGGCTTAACAGATGTCAGGCTTGGAGTTCAACGCCGTTTCTTCCATATGTAATTCACTGTGCGTAACAATGGATAATGGACGTTGTAATTTAGTCGGAATAATGAAAGGTAAACAATGTTTTTGCACAATTGGGTCAAAAGGAAAATAAACAAGAAACAAATGCTGAATTTCTGTAGTCTTCCAACGTTAATTGTATTTAATCGAGTGCCGTGTGGTGAAATAATGGAGGGACGCGATCTTTTCACAGGATCGTGGTCTTGTTAAAATTTTAGTCTGGAAAGTTATATTCATCGCATGTGTTTGTGATGCTAAAACTCAATCCTTGTAAATATGCTGCCGAACGTCTTACTTTACAATGTTTAGGATTCTTTACAAGTTCTTCACATTGAAGATTCGTACGATAGAAAATATGCCAACTTAGCCAGTTGGTTTGATGGTATCTTTAACACAACTGCTCTAGCCCTCATTTGCAATTAGCAATCTGGTCGGTTATATCTAAGCTCAAAATGATAACTGTCACCAAAAACATTCGTGTCCGATGTTGTTATCTAACCGATGAAAAAACTATCACAGTTTCTGGAATTACAAGAAGGGAATAGCTTATTATACTGTTAAATACAACAGTAACCAACACGATCAAAAGCGATTGTGACTACCATTCACGTAAGAGACATGCAATGCCTGATTTGCTTTCAAACATTAGACTTTGTATTTGCAAGGCCGCAGGCGGTAGGTGTTGGAATAGCTCAGTGGTTAGGGTGAAGGACTACAGTCTAAGGGTATGGGGTACGGGTTCCTGACATGACCAAAATTTCACCCAGACTAAGGGGAGTCGCTAGCTCTCTGTTTTTACAGGCGTAGGAATCACAAGGTGTTGTCATATCAAGAAGAAGGACCAGGACACTGCTCGATACGCACAGCTTCTCAGTGTCCTAAAACCCACCTTCGGAAGCTTGGTAGTGAGAAACACTAATGTAGGAGGTACATGACTAGGGGGACAAGATTACAATTTTTTCAACAAATTGAAATAAAAGGATTTTGTACATCGTTCGCAGTGTCTTAGAGCACAAACACTTGCGTGCCCCAAAGACTTTTGCCAACAGGTTTTGGTAGATTCCTCATTTGCTCAATAGTTCGGCTCTCTGCACAGGGCTCTTAGCCTCTATTTATTGTAGCAATTGAACAACAACAACTTATAGATCTACATTGATGACATAGTACGTATAGATACAGTATGGCTGCCGTAGCCAAGAAAGGAAACAATGCCATCGAATTTCAACTGCGACAGCAACTAGCACAATATAAAATTAAACTGAGTTTGTTATTTTCATCTCAATCACGCTATCGTCCCGTTTATCATCGTTCAAGTATATAAAGGACTTTATCTTGTTATGTAAATTTACAGTGGACGGTAATTTTGCTATATGCCGTCCAAAGGCTTCAAAGTCAGTCAAGAACACTAGGAATCATGCTCCACAAGACTTTGATTCAACATCTAGCTCATACTTTGCTTAACTCTTTTACAATTTAAAGTGTCGCTTTAGTTCTTAACTGCTTTTTCAAAACTCATGCTCCTCAAATTGAAAATTCTTGTCACTCCTCTTGACGTCGAAGAGAAAATAAAAGATTTGCAAATGACCCTTATTAGCAAGGCTGCCAAATTGCGTTTTTGAATCGCAACAGCTTGAAGATATGCTACTTATTTTCACTTTGTAGATGAATCAAACTTCGATGATTATTTTGAATTATTGTTTTATCATTTTTTATAATTAGGTTCTGATATCATTATTTTATAGCTACCATGACTAGAATCCGCAGCCAAGCTTTCAATGTCGATATTTTGATGTCATAGAAAACTTCTTCATTAAAAGTAATGGTTATGTCATTATAAATACCGTGCTCTGCACATTTTTTTCAATATTTCGCTGTCTTTTAAAGTCTAGTGCCATTAGCCGTTCGGATATGCTTGAAGATTTCAACATTTTACCAAGCACAAGCATATGGTCAAAAAAGTAAATGAACTTTGACAAGCAAATCTTACTGCTATACACATGAGAAGCAGCTCCATAGTTATAAAAATGAAGTACATAGTTAATTACCAATTGCTTTGGTAGCTGTTAAGACATGTATTTGAAGTTCCTTAAAGCATAAAAAGAAGACATTCGGGTACAGAGAGGAAGGGCACATAAGATATGTGTACCTGAAGCCCGCTTCTGGTAGCTTTATTTTTTATATCATATTCCAGGTAAACTTTGTATCAATTGCTTACCTTTCCTTTTGAAATTAGGCCATATCTTGCGGACTATTGTAGCTTTCAATAACGAATACAGTAGTATGTAATGAACATGCTTTTGAAGGCGATGAAGTCACATATAGATTCTAGAAAGAGAATCACTAAGAACTGTACAAAGAAGCTCGGAATCGAAAATTTCAGATTTAGAAAGCATGTTACACTAAACCATTTAATCAATTATTTGGCAGCTGAAAAAATTGCTAGACTGAATCGTCTTTGAATTGCTATCACTAGTTGCGAATACTGCTAACTAGAAACTATGTTTGCTTCAGAAGACTTACACGTTGACAAAAGGATAAACCCGTTGATTTGATTTTAAGCAGGGGTGAAGCAAACAGCAAAAATTTCTCTCTTAAAAGCCGTATCTTTAGATAAAAGCTAAAAATCAAATGAACCTTGTGATATCAAATGATGTTTACCGATGGTTTTTCCTAAGAAACTCAAAAGCCATTGAATACGTATTCAAGTCAAAATACTGAATGCCTAACGATGCAGTGAATCCACTTTTGAACCAAAGTCAAATCTGGAATTGAAAATCTGGGATATCACAATGTATACATTATCTATTGCTAGTTAAACGCTGGAAAGTTTTTACACGAGAAGATTATGGTCAAAAACTTATATCAGTTCAATCTTTTAACTATGTGAAGTTTTTTAAAAATCTTCAAAATAATTTTTGTCATTTTTCCCCTAAACATTTTCCTCAAGACAGTAATTACAAAGATGGCCGTTGCTAGCTGTTGCTCTAGAAGGGGGAGACTGCTTGGATCCCATTTGCCGATAGAACAGGTGTGCCTCTCTTTTTGCCGACAAGTCTGGATATTTCACACTTATCTGAACATTGCCGATAAGTCTGAATATATGGCAAAAGACTACTTTTTGGCATCCAAGGGAGTGCCACACCCCTTTCCCCCATCACCACGCCTATGGTAGCAACAGCACTGATTACCATCGTATAATGCATGATTTCTCGCTCAAGTAGCATTGAGTGCACAGTATCAAGAAATACTTGAAGTAAGAGGCAGGAGCTTGCAGCAGTTAGCATGTCGAGAAAATGCAGATTCTTTGAAATCATTCAATAATGGAATAGCATGG